TAAATAGGTCTACACGAAAGAGGTGGTCCACGAAGCAAATAGTTCACAGATGCATTTGATGCAGCCTATAGTTTTTCCCATTTGTCTTGGTTTGTAAGATCCCACAGTATGTGCGATCTTAGTATCCCAACAATGATTGAACCATGCCCCCTGTATTGGGATAGCAGAGCCTTAAATCACTAGACTACCAGGGAAGAAGTCCCTTTGAGCTATTTTTCAAAATTGGAGATAATGTGTAAAAGCTGGGGTAGTCTGCTTTTTAAAAAATATTTGGGATTTCTCTTAAACAACCAGGAATGTGGCAACACTAAGCCGACCTTCCCACTTGACTAGAACCAGCAAGGGGAGAGGGCCACCAGTGACTAAAAAAGCACAGGTCTCTAGCTCAGCACACCCATACAGGAACAGTCAGTGCTTCTTTGAGAAGCGTTGCAGACACAAGCACCCATGAGTGGTTAAGTGATCGTGAAGACAAGCAGATTTCTGCTTCAATTCAGTCCCTATCACTTCCAATCCTTGCTTATTTCTGTATCTGCATGATCCCCCGAAGTACTTGTTTTCAACTTGGCATCTGATGCCAACTTGTTTTCAACTTGGCATATGATGTGTCAACCAACATAGAAAAAAAGCTCAGGATGGGGAATTCCCTGGAAGTCCAGTACTTAGGACTCCTCGCATTCACTGCCAAAGCTCGATCCCTGGTCGAGGGAGGAACTAGGATCCAACACGCTGTGTGGTGCAGCCAAAAAAGGAAAAACTAACAATCTCTAAGGGCTGACTGTAGAAGGGGGGTTACCCCTGGCTTTAGCTTTTGTAGCTAACCACTGCCTTATGACAAATACGTATTGATTTCACAGGGCAAAGTGTATATGAAACCATCTTCCTTTCTCCCTGGAGTAACCCATGTGGAGCTGCAAGACCAAAGGCCCACCATTAGCCCAAAGGCTGGTGAAAGCCAGGCCCCAGGATTCTTACCGGAATACATATTAATTGTAATTTTACATGCATAATTGCAATATGCACATAAAATGCAACAGGATCCTACAAACAAAATACTGGCAAGGCATCAATTCTGGCCAGGAGGTCTAGATAAAGGAAGCAGACAAAACATGGAGTATATAAACTACTCTGACCCTTAACATGACAAGATTCCAGGAGTGAACAGCTTTTGGCTTACCGAAGTGCTCCTCGAAGATTAAAACCAGCCCTGAGGATTACAGGCACATGATTCTGAGCTCCTCAATGCCCTAAACAAAAGGAGGGTTTCTAAACTCTCATGAAATTTTTATCTAATGATTTATTTCAATGTGTACTTTTATGCTGCAGGCTACAAATTTTTCCCTGCTGAAACTAAAAAGGTTTTGCAATCCTATGACAAGCTACTATTTTAATACAATCTTAGATAAAACAGTCTTGCAAAAAAAAAAACCACAGTCTTGCCTCACTTATATTCTCAATGATTGTGGGGGCATTTTAATAAATATCCCGTTTCCTTCCACCAAATGCTATTATAACTGCCAACAGCAGAGGGCAGTGCGGGCAGAGCAAAGAAAGCCAGTCTCAGAATCTGTTTGCGGAACTCCCCCATTCTTCTCAGAGACCTCAATTTGCCTTCTGTAAAAGGAGGAGAGTGACTCAGAGTTTCTCTTAGTTTGTACCACATATTGGCAAACCAACCCATGTTGCCTGCAAGCTAAGAAGGGTGCAGTTCTTGTTTCGTCACTAAGTCGTGTCCAACTCTTTTTTTGACCCCATGGACTGTAGCCCACCAGGCTCCTCTGTCCATGGGATTTCCCAGGTGAGAATATTGGAATGGGTTGCCAGTTCCTTCTCCAGGGGATCTGCCCCACCCAGGAACTGAACCGGCATCTCCTGCACCGCAGGCAGATTGATTACCACTGAGTCACTTGGGAAGCCAAGAAGGGTATTTACCACTTTTAAGTGGTTTAGGGGAGAAAAAAAGGATTCACAGCTCCTGAAAACATAACAGTCATATGGAATTCAAATTTCAGTGTCAGAGTCACATACTTACTGCCATGGCTGTCTTAGTAACACAAACAAGGTGTTGAATAATTGCACAGTTGTGACAAAAGACAAAGCCTAAAATATTTACCACCTGGCTCCAGAAAGGGGACAGTTTCAAAGACTAAAAAGATTTTTAATAAATACCTTCTCTTCCTACACTACCCATTGGCTGCCTAACTAATGATCAGCAAAATAACCCAGACACATACTAGCAAGCAGATTATGTTTTGGGAAACAGATTTTAAATTCTACTGAAATGGGGCATCTGCTAACTCACCACCTCAAAAGTCACTCAAATAATGAGGAACTTTGACAGGAATTCTGGCATCATTTCAACCTCTGCCCCTCTTAAGGGAAGAGAGAAGCTTAATTAAACCCATTATATATGTCCCTCATATTCCTCTGAAACTGTGTTTCCTGAAATATGGTGTAGAAACATCCACAGTGGTTCATGGACCAACATGTTTTACAAGCTATGTGCTAATTTCATGTACATTAGCAAAAATAAAAAAAACAGCAAGCAATTTAAACACATGAGCTTGTGTATTTTATTTAGCTTCACATGAAGCTAAATTGTGGATCTAATATTTAAGAATGTAATAAAACAGGTGGTACGTACACTATAGCAAAAAAAAAAAAATCATGGCGATTAAAGTTCAGGCAACAGTAATTCATGGGACTGCTGCCCATTAAAACACTTTCTCAATAGGAACTCAGGCTGAGGAGCTTGTGTGATTATACACCATATGTTGTTACCGGCTTAAATGAAATCATGTCATGGAATAAAAGTAAGCCTTTAAGGACTCTGGTCAGAAACAAGGGGGCAAAGGGCAAGCTTTTTCTGAAGCTATGTCAACAGAAGTTATATCATCCCAGAACAAAGCTCTTAAACTCAACCTTGAGTCCGTCAACCACATGGCTGGATCAGAACTGAAGAAGAGACTGCAACCTTTACTCTGAAGAATCAAAAGCTGTTGGTGATTAACTCTGCTCCACCTAGAGCCATTCAGAGCAGCTACAAGCAGTATTTGAAAATAAGCCGCCACCCAGAAAGAAGCCACCGCGTGAACCAAAACAAGTAGAAAACTTCTGAGTTCACCATTGACTGAGGCTTCGTCATTTTATCTTCTGGGGACACTGATGTTCTCTTAACTGATGCCTGCTCCTTTTTTTTTTTTTTTTTGGGGGGGGGGGTGCCATCCAGCTTGGGGAATCTTAGTTCCCCAACCAGCAATCGAACCCAGGCTCCAGCAATGAGACCTTGGAGTCTGAACCACTGGACCACCAGGAAATTCCTGATGCCTGTTCCCCAAAAAGTTCTATGTGAAGGAAAGAAAGGAAAGAGGAAAGGAGGGAGGGAGGGAGAGGGGGTGATCTGAAAGGCTATCCAAGGGTAATGCTCTGGGCAGAAGTTTAAATAGTGGTGGTCCAACCTGTGGATGTGCTTTATTCATTCTGGGAAATATCTTAAGACATTTTGAGCTGAACTTTCATAACTGGAGAGTCTACATAAAAAGGCAGAGTCCCCATTTCTCTATAAGAATGTTAAGACATGAAAACCCTAAGTTCACATTTCTGGGCGGCGACCAGGGGCTAAAACCATTGAGAATGGGGCATGTGCCCTGAGGTTCACAACAGTCTCCTCAGCCCAGAGCCTGAGGGCTGCCTGAGTTCATCATCACGTTTCATGTAGAGCTTTATTTTTTTTACCTATGCCTCTCAAAGACAGAATAAGAAAGAAGAAACAGTAAAGGCCACTTTTCAAGAAAAATGACAGTAAACCCATTTCCTTGTGGAAACCATAAAGTTCTCACAGGATTTTCTTTTTTTATATATATATTTATTTATTTAACTGCACCAGGTCTTAGTTGAGGCATGTAGGATCTAGTTCCCTGACCAGGGATCAAACCTGGGTCCCCTGCATTGGGAGCTCAGAGTCCCAGCCACTGGATCACCTGGGAAGCCCTCTCATAGGTTTTAATATGCAACTAAATTATGTCTGGATGGAAAAGAATTCAATTTAAGTCATCCTTGCTTTTGTTACAGTCAGCCAGCACCCCTCCTTTGCAACATCTCTCTGGATCCGTACCGGCATGGGATAAGTGACTACCAGAATAAATAATAGAGCAGCCAACATTTTTGTAGTACTTATTATTTTAGGTACTATTCTAAACCCCTTATGTATATCGGTTCATTAATCCTCACAAGAAACACTGAGGCAGGGCCTATCATTATGGCTGTGTTACAGGAGAGGAAACCAAGGCATGCGAGGGTCAGGCACTTTGCCTAAAGCCACAGAGCTAGTGAATGGCAGGGCTGGGACCTGACCCAAGACCAGCATCCTCCTCCTCCACCTCCACTATAGCAGCTAGGCTGCAAGATGCAACAAGACATTTACACTGAGGGGGCGGCGGGGAGGAGGGGACTGGGACCATTCAAGAAGTGGGAGTGCTCTGCGCTCTCTGCAGAGAGAATATTCTTGTTTCCCTTACATGTTTCTCTAGTATTGAGCCTTCAGTCATGCGAGTATCTGGTTTTGATAAAAAATACTGTTTCCATTAAAATAAAATTCTTGAGAAAGAAAAAAAGCATTGCAGGAAGTTGTGATTCATCTCGGAGGCATTTGAAAAGAACTCTGAAGGATTTCTGGCCACTTCTGCCCACTTCTAGGAATGACCTCCAGCTGGCCTTTGGGGAACGCTTTTCTCATGTGTGGGACCAAGCTGCAGCCCACGGGGTCGCAAAGAGGCAGACACGACGTAGCGACTGAACAACGACAGCAAGAATCCCAACGGGTTTACTCGCTTAAAATTTAAAATCGGCTCCACTGGGATCGAGACACCCCACCCCCCACCTCCCCCCACCCCCGCCAACTCTATGATGCTCACCAGGTAGGCGGGGCCAGCCAGGTGACGCCCCCGATGAGAAGCCCTGTGTCCCAGGGACCCCCTGCGCCCTCTCCCCCCTGGGCTGACCTGTGCTCTTGTCCAGGAAGTCCATGGACTCCTCACTGGCGCTGAAGTGGCTGGATGTGGCCTTCTTCTCGGCATCCTGCTCCACGTCGGAGCCTGTGTGCACGGAGGAGTTCGTGCTCATGGGGGAGCGCGGCATGTCGGACAAGGAGATCCTGCGGCCCGCGCCCCCGCTCAGCATGGGCTTGCTCATCAGAATCTTGGGCGACGCCGTCATGTCAAAGCTGAGCTTCACCTTCTCCTGCTTGTCCATCTTGGCGGCACCAGCGCCAGGGTTGGAGGGGTCGAGCAGCATTTGGTACTGGCTGTTGGGCGTGTAAGGTGTCCTGAATGGAGAGTAATTAAAAACCCCGAACTTTCGGCGGATGTTCTCCACGTAAACCTCCATCTCTTGCATTGCACTGTTGAAGATGCTTTTAGTCTTTTTCACAGAAAAAGGAATTTCTTTAGACATGAGGTAGCAATTATTTATTGGAACCCAGGCCCTGGGAGCACAAAAAAAGGGAGTTTAAGTCAGCCTTGGTCGTTTCCAACATTCTTAAAGTTTTTTTTTTCTAACAAATTTGATTGTGCAAGAACACTTAAGTTGAGATCTGCCCTCTTAACAAATGTAACCCTCTTAACAAGTGTATCATACATTACTGCGTCAACGGAAAAACAGCACAGCCTAAAAATTGAGAATTATGTTTTATTTGGCGGACAAAACTGAGGACCTTAGCCCAGGACGCAGCCTCTCAGATCATGCTGAGAGACTGCTTCAAAGAGGCAAGGGGGGAGTCAGGATATACAGGAGTCTTTTTTTGCAACAAAGACCAGGTAGCCAGAACTTCAAAAGATTCCTATTAAAGAAAACCAGACAGCTCGTGTTACGGAATTCAGCATTTTTCTCAGTCTGGGAAGATGCAAGAGTCTGGGTTCACTGAAATCTTTCCTCTGACATGCACCTTAGCGATCTGGGGCTTTCTCAGCCTGAGTCCCCTCAGGATGGGGTGGCTAGAGGGAGGCTGCAGTGACTGAGCGCTTGGCAGCTGGGTGCCCAATTGTACTGGCCTGATGGCAGTAACGTCCTTTGCTTACTGATAGAGCAGGCAACATTTTTTCATCAACAGCCAGCTGTAGGCATATGCTGGTATGGCAGCTCTCTAAAGCTTATTCACAGTTTTTTCATTGAAACTTTGGATCTGTTAATCGGTAGTCTCCCTTTTTCCCCTGTCCCCAGCCCCTGGCAACCACCATTCTACTCTGATTCTATGAACCTGACTATCTCAGATACCTCCTACAAATGGAATCATGCAGTATTTGTGGAACTGGCTTATTCCACTTTGCCGAAAGTCCTTCTGGTACAGCCATGATGCTTCATCTTTCTTAAGGCAGAACAGTATTGCACTCTATGTAGAGACCATATTTTCTTTATCCATTCATCTCTTGATGGTCATTTAGGTTGTTTCCAGAATGGTGTTTGTTTGTTCTTTCTTAACGCAAACCATATATCCTTGTGGATTTGCCAAGATTCTTAAATACATGTTCCATTTTTAAAAAATGACTTGTTTTGAATGGTTAGTTAACAATCCACTTAACAGGCATGTTCTGTGACAAGGACTGAATGTGAACAAGACACTCAGCTACATTAAAAGGCTCAATAGCTTAGTCAGTTTAATCCATTAAAAAAATAATAAATCCCCCTTGCCTCTGGGTTGGTAGAGAGTAAGAAAACAGTCTGGATCCTAGACCATACCTCCGAGAAGGTAATTATTCCCCAAATCTCACTCTTATGCACTCAGACACAAAGAGGTTTCTTTTCTCTTTTAAAACTGCAATTCTACATGGGACTGCAAGGAAAGGTTAGAAAACCACAACCCCAAAAGGGGTGCATAGTTCTGAATGTGAGATAATTCACATGAAAAAATGGGAAAAGAGCCTATTAGCCTTGGGGTATGGGCCCTTCAACTCTTGTTTCAAGCTAGTTCTGTCTTCCTACCGTCAACCTTCACATCCTAGTGCGCTCTGCAGAAATCCACTAGAACGTGAGCTGCTTTTCTGGAATCAGCCACCCAAGTGAGGGCAGGCAGGAGATGGAAACAAAACCACCATGCTCTGGGGAAGGCAAGAGTGGATATAAGCGCATCTTGGGTATGCCTTTGTGATACCTGACGCCCCTAGCTTCAACCCAGCGTGTAGATGGGAATCTGGTAGGAAAGAGTGTTTCCAAGGAGACCTCAGGGATTTCATAGACCATAAACTCAAGCCAGGTACAAAGCCATGGGGAGCAGTGTGGACTTAGTAGGGAGAGCAGGTGGAAAACTCACACCCAGTTTAACGCAAGGACCCCCTACTCAGGTGCTATCAAACTGCTTCGGGAATTAGGACCCAACACCAAGTCTTCCAAAATTTTAAAGTAGAAAATACAACCTTTTTATCTTCTCTTTTACCCAATGTTAACAGCATCTCATTCCTATTTATTAAAAGAAAATCAGCAGGGAGAAACAAAGCCTGGCCATGGGGCAGAGTCCAGGGCACAGGCTGGCGGCCCACAGCTCACAGCTCTTGGTGATGATAGGTCACGATGCATATGAACACGGAACCCCTCAAAATACCCACCTGCACCATCAGAGTGCTGGAAACCACCCACTTCTCATCTGTTCCCACTCACTGCTGTCATTCTGCAGAGGCCTGAGGAACCAAAGGTGCAGCCAGGCAGAATGAGGGCTGGGCAGGAGCCAGATGCCCCCAGGGCCAGTGTCTTTGGGGCCTCCAGAGCTTTCACCCGAGTGGGCAGGAGTTAGGACCAAAACGGGGCTCTAAGGAGCAGCGGGAGCTCCAGGCGGCCCCGACAGCTGACGCCCCTTCTCTGGGCCAGCCTCCGCTCTGTCAGTGAGGTGCAGGATGAGCCCCTACCTGGAGGGATGCTGGGGAGACACACCTGACCGGTCCCCTGCACCCCCAGGAGCTGACCAGCCACAGTCACTGGGATTGCACCTTCTCCCACTTCTGTCTGGAATTGGTGCCTTAAGTTCCATGAAGTTATTTTACAAGTGATTTCAGAAAAGGGTTCCTTTTTCTTAAAGAAGACCCAGGAAAAACTGAAAGGGATATCCTATTTGCTTAGTGACAGGAAGTCTCTGGGAGGCTATGTCTTGAGTGGCAACACAGTCACAGAGCTGAACTACTTCCTAGTTCTGGGCCTTGGTTTTCCTTTCAATGAAATGGGGATAAAAGCAGCTTCTATAAAAAAAGCACTTAAAACAATGTCAGCTGCCACAGTAGCATTCACTTGGCCCGGCACACGGCACACACTGAAAACATGTTTCTTTGAATGAATGAATGAAGGAAGGAATTTCAGAAAGCTTCCCCAAAAAAATGATCAAAATCAAAATATAATACTTGCCATCAAACCCAGAACCATCTCCGCTAATATCCATCTTGTCTCCTATCAATGGACTGCTAAGATTCCTGGTAAGTGACTTTGCAGATTACTTTGAAATTCATTTTTTTCCTTCCAAGATGACAAGCAAACTTTCACAAGGAGCAATTATTTCAGATTCTGCTGTTGTTTCAAATGATAAACTGTATTTTCTGTATGTTCTGTGGGTGGGTATAATTTTCAAAATATGTCTTTTAAATATACACACACACAAACACTTTCCCAGCCTGCGTGCTAGGGCTCTGGGGCGGGGGAGGGGGGGGGTGCCTCATTTAATCACAACATAACTTGCTAAAAGAGAACCGGAGATATTAACCGCCGCTCATCTCCATCTACCTGTCGTTCTAAAGCAGGCGGGGGGCTGCGCTCTGCAGAGAGCCGCTATTAGCTAGAATAATTCACATCTAGCTAGAATAATTCACATTGCTGAAGGGGGGAGGGGGAAGGCAGGAAGGCTAGAAGGGAGGGCTCCTACCTGTCAAAACAGCAACCCCTTATAATTTCCCATTTTAGCTCCATAGAAAAAGTAACAGGAGGGGACTACCCCACACGACAATGGGAGATACATTTACCAGCAATCTGGGGAAATGCTTCTGATCCCTGAAAGCATTATTTTGAAAAGCAATTTGTGCAGTGATTTAATTTACTGCAGGGGGAAAAAAAAAAACCCAAAAAAGAACAGCAGAGCTTAAAATAGCCGTGGAACCTATGCCCATGCCGGCTGTATCCACAAAATCACGAAAGCAAGATCCTTTCCAACCTACCTGAAAAAATGGAAGCCGGTACACAATCAGGCTTAACACAGCCCAGGCCAGTATTTTTAAAGTACAAGATCATTAGTGGGTATCACTATGATCAAATAATAGTCGTGCCCCCCGCCCCTTCTCACATTCATTGGCAGGATCAAAGGCTCACTCAGAGCTACGCGTTTGAAGTCCGTGTTTAACTCCCACCTGTCGTGTTGTCCAAAGAAACGGGCATCCACCTGCCCATCTTTATCCCTCAGAGCTTTCGCAGGCCAGAATGGAAACCCCTTCAGTTTTGCCCAAACCAAAGGATGTGGATTGCTCTAGGAAAAGAAAAACAAAATCCCGAGTTTGTACGTATTCAACAGCAAGACCCATATATAAAGCTCGGTAGGTGACGGAGCGGTGAGGCAGGACATGAAGTGAAAGAGGATAGTTTCAAGCAGGGTCCGTCTCCCCAAGAAGCAGTCCCCAGATGCGTAGCCAGTAAGCCTGGGCAAGGCTGGGAGAGGGGTCAAATGGGGAAACCGAGAAGAAGTGAGTGCTGACAAGACCAGACTTGAATCCTGGCTATGCCGCTATTGCTTGGAGGGCAGTGAGCAAGAGATTGACCCTTTCTGGGCAACACGGGGACAGTAATACCTACACTCTCCATTAAGTTGGAGGGTTAAATGCACATGATATCCAACACAGAATAACAGGCAGCACTAGGTACCTTTATTCCTCATCAAGTGCTATTCAAAGCGCTAACTATTCAGATATTCATCTCCAAAGGCAGAAAAGCTATCAACTATGTTTTGATTCTCAACTCTAAGGACAAGTCTTGCTGCCCAATCCCCTCCACCCCCACGCCCATACTCCCAGCTCTCTCTGCAAAGCACCAGTTTGGAAAATGTAGATCCCTGGGGGCAACAAGGGTGACGTTCTCTCCCTACCCCCAACCCATCCTCAAGAACCATGGTTTCGTATGTAAAATAGACAGCTAGTGGGAAGATGCCATATAACACAGGGAGCTCAACCTGGTGTTCTGTGACAACCTACAGGGCAGGATGAGGTGTGAGGTGGGAGGTGGGAGAGAGGTTCAAGAACGAGGAGACACATGTACACCTATGACTGACTCACGCTGGGGTATGGCAGAGACTAACACAACAATGTAAAGCAATTATCTTCCAATTAAAATAGATTTTTTTTAAAAAAGGGAAATCCAGACAACCCTGTACCTTCCTGTTCTTTCCTGAGCTCTATGTCAGTGTTGATTAAATCGTTGATCAAATCTTAAAGGGAAAAAAAAAAAGAAGCACCATGGTTTGGCGAGATCACGGAGTTAATCCTGGAAGGGATTTCCAAACCTCTTAAAATAGACGCAGGTGATTTGTAAGTAACATATTCATTTACCACTACTGGCTCACTATCTGCATGATAGTGTGTGTCTATTGGTGCGTCTTTCTTCTGATGAGTTTTTCTTTTATTCTGCATCCTGCTGTTTTCAAGGACTAACAGAGCCCGTCAGTCATGATGCTTTGAACTTTTAGCCAAAGAGGTTTATCCCACCTGGATTACTCCCTTTCTGACTATAACTGTATCAGCAAGAAAATTATCTAAAAACATCATCCAAAGTTCCATCCAGTAAGGCACCTGGAGAAAGTTGTTCTGGGTCATCCAAGGCAGAAAGTTCAGTAAAGAAAGAAAGAAAAGGAAACCCAACTTACACAAGGCTCACAAAACCAGTTATCTCGTTTTTGGCAGGCAGCTAGATAACACTCTGGACAAACTTCAATTTCATTCATCTGTAAAGCAAAAAGGTGTTAAAAAAAAAAAAAGTCACTCCCAGGGGCCTTATATCTGCAAGTCCTCAAGAAATACATGACGATACTGGCAGGTAAGGTTAGCTAAACTAAGTGCCATGGTGGGGAACACTCTGGACATTAATTGACTATTTCTCACCAACCCTGATGTGTTCACCTAGCCCAAGCCATCCTCATCTCTTTCTGAACCGTGTCTCCCAGCTTCCTAATTTGGTCCATTCCCCACATACATGGAACAGCCCGAGCCCAGCCCAGGAGGTTCATTTCATCCACACCATCAAAACTGGGGGGTATTTTTCCAGGACACCTGGGCCATTCTTGGAGAAATTCAGGACATTTCCTGCAAATAACGTCAAATGCAAACACCTGCCACAAGAAGGCTGAAAGGGAAGGAGGGGTCGGCCTTTGAGCAACAGTGGCGCAAGACGGCGGCCACCACGGGCTCCAATTGTGAAAACCAAATATACAGCCTTAAAATAAAACGTGGGCCTAAATACCCAGGAGCGCCCGCCTCTGTGAGATTTGTAACAAAATTAATATGAATGGAGCTAATAGTTTTAATGGAGTGGTGGACCCAAGAGCCGCAGCAGTGCTAGCAAAATGGCAGAATTCGTATAGCATCAAAGTTGTCCTGCAAGAGCTTCGGCGCCTAATGATGTCTAAAGAAAATATGAATACATGTAAAAAAAAAAAAAATGAACTATTTTCAACAATGGAAAAAAAAACATATTGTAAACAGTTTAAAAAAAAATTTAAAAAAAAAAAAACCAAAAAAAAAATAAATAAATAAACAAAAAAAAAAAAAAAAGAAAATATGAAACTCCCTCAGCCACCTGAAGGACAGTGTTACAGCAATTAATCAAAAAGAAAAACCACAGGCCTTCCCCTGCCCCCCATTTGATTTAACCAGTCTTCATTTTCCACAGTAATAAATTTTCCAGATACATCTCGTAGACCTCAAAGTACTAGAAAGAAAGCTCCCACTCAAAGGCAGTTTATCTTAAGATTCTGTAAATGATGCTAATTTTTTTTGTCCATTTGAAATATATAAGTTGTGCTATTACAAAAGAAGAAGAAGACTAAAAGGGACCCAAGAAAATGCCACAGTGTGAGACTGTGGGGCAAAGAAATCATAAACGCTATGCTACATGCAGCGCCTGACCACCAGCAAAAGCTAGAAAAAATCCTCTCTCTTAGATCACAGATAAGGTAAGGGTGTTATTTCATCACATACAAGGGTCCCCTCTGTTGCTTTTACTTTCCTCGAAGACAAAAGATGCTGTCTGTGCATCAACAAATTCTCAAATCTCCACAACTACCCTCAGACAATTCCACCAATGAGAACATCAATCACCCAACCCATCATTCCAGATACACTTAAAAGGGACAGTGGGAAACACATACCTCATGCTCACAGATTTTGATGACGACTTTTGCAATTTGCGTCAATTTGTGATTTCCTAAGGGAATAAGACAATAGGGTTAATTCAAATGGAAACACAGAAACACCTTAGGATTTATACCTATAGAGCCTTAGGACTTATACCTCTATTAACAACCTTTTCACTTGCTTTCCCTTGGGAGTAACCTTTAAAAGGTTAAAAACCAGACATGTCTGGCTTCTAACATCAGTTTAGATGACTTTTCCCAGGAACAAACCTTTGGTGCTGAGATACTCCCTGAAAGGTGACAATGTGTAGTGGTTTCCCAATAGTTCACAAATTAATATCTGAAAGATGCTTTTATAGTCTCAAGGCCCACAGTAGTGGAAAGGAGCCTTCTGGACTTCCCCAGTAGTCCAGTGACAAAGAGTCCGCATGCCAATGCAGGGGACGCAGGTTTGATCCCTGGTCCAGGAAAATTACACGAGTAACTAAGCCCACACACCACAACTACTGAGCCCAAGCACCTTAGAGCCCATGCTCTGCAACGAAAGAAGTCACCACAATGAGAAGCCCACGCATCTCAACCAGAGAGCAGCCCCTGCTCTCTGCAAACAGAGAAAAGCCCTCACAGCAACAAAGACCCGGCAGAGCCGTAAATAAATAAACACATAAGCAAAGGCGCCTTCTTCTGCCCATTGGCCCAGACCCTAACCCAAGAAGAAGAGTCCGGGGAAAAGAAAACATTTAATTGACTAACTCCAGTGTGCCTGGTGCAATGAACTCAACTCCTTAAAAAAGCCTTCATGAATGGTCTAATTTCACCTAAGAGTAAACCGAGGTTCAGGAGTCATCACATATATGAGATCACTGAGCTAATGAATTGAGGTTATGGCTCCAGGTCCAACTCTTAACCCCTCACCTTTGCACTAAACCAGAGAACAAGAAGGTCAAAAAGCCATGTTGTATTGAACAGTATGTTTTTAGAAATTGTAAATTTGAGGGCAAAAGAGTTCATACACACAAATACCTAGATTTCTGACATGTCTGAAAACTCAGAAGATCAGAAAACTTTGTATCCAATAAACCACTGGAGTGTCCAGTGGTGACCTCTCCAGAGTGGGCAGGAGTTCCCTGTTGTCTACAGTCTCCAGCTCCCCTCACTGGTCATCCTTGCTTATTCTACTGTTTTTCTGCTACCTGGCTTCATTCACTTGTTTATATGATCTTACTGGCCTTCCTCTGTATTTGAGTTTATAACCTTGACACAAATTTCCAATGCCTAGATACATATCTTTCTCCCATCCCTGCATCCCCAGCCCTGCAAACACGTTAGTAATGCAAAATATGTACTTTAAGCAGATAGTCATCCACTCATATTTCTTTCTTCAAACATCAGCTAACAACAGTCTACGCTAGGCCCAAGCATGTATGGGAAACAAGATTGCCCTTAAAGAGCCTACACCCTGGTGAGCAACTCAAAATTTAAAAAGCACCATCAGGAAAGTGTGATACATACTGTCATGCTGAAGGACAGGTACAGAGAGCCCTTAACAAAAGTATGTAATATGGTCTAGGTCACAAAGGAAAACTCAGGACTGAAAGGCTGAGACTGAAGGACAAGGAAAAATCATCAAGGCAAAGACAGAGGAGTGTTTCAGCAGGGGACTAGAGGAGCAGGATGGGGCAGGACACGCTTAAAGAACTACGGCAAGAAGGCAGACAGAGAGGATTATGGGAGAAGGTACGGTAATGGGAAAGGTGCGCATGGAAGAGATTTTTAATGGGAAGTCTCCCCCAATCTGTCCAGAAGGCTTAATCCACAAAAACATAACAAAACTTTATCCAGAATCAAAAGAAGTCCTAAAACTCAATAATAAAAAACAATTCAATGTTTGAAATGAACAAAAGATCTAAATTGATGTTTTACCAACAAAAGATGGATAAATGACTAATAAGCACAAAAGATACTCAATACCTAGTCATTAGAGACTGATAAAACAGCCACTGCATAATACTTCATGCCTTCAAGAACAGCTAAAGTTAAAAAGAGACAATATCAAATGTTGGCAATGATGTGGCACAACAAAAACTCTCATACACACTGCTAGACGGAGTATAAAATAATACAACCAACTGATGAAATAGTTTGATAAAATTTCTTATAATTTAAATACAAACCTACTCAATGATCTAGCAATACCACTCTTGGGTATTCATCCAAGAGAAATGACAGCCTATGTCCACACAAAGACTTCTATAAGAATGTTCATAGGGGGCTTTATTCGTAATAGCCATACAAATATCCATCAATATCAGCAAAGGGAATGGATAAATTGTATATTGACACAATATTGATACCACTCTACAGTAAGAAGAAACAAAGCAATAATGCATACAACAGAAGAGAATCCCAAAAATATTACACTCTGTCAACACAGTAAAGACTCCATTGATATGAAATTATAGAATATGGAGAATCAGTTCTCAGTTATAGAAAACAGAACAGTAGTTCCTTTTGAGGAGTGGGGATTTAGTGAAGAGAGGCCAACTGGGATATAATAGGGTGATAGAAATGTTTCAGGGTCTTATTTGCGGTTGGAGTTACGGAAGTGGAACACGTTTGTCAGATTCATGGAATGTATCTGTAAAATCTGTGCTTTCTGTTTTATATAATTATTCCTCCATTAAGAAGGACAGGGAGGCCTTCCCTGATGATATATAATGGTTAAGACTGATTGCCCATGCAGGGAACCCGGGTTCAATCCCAGATGCCACATGCCACAGACCTCCTAAGCCCATGCACCACAACTAAAGCCTGAGCGCTTAGAGCCTGTTCTCAGCAACAAGAGAAGCCACGGAGATGAGAACCCCATCCACGACAGCGAAGAGCAGCCCCCACTCGCCGGAACTAGAGAAAGCCCGCACGCAGCAGCAAAGACCCAGAGCAACCAAAGATAAATAATTAAGTGTTTTTTAAAAATTAAGAGGACAGGTAAAAGCATCATATAATCACAAGCAACAGTGGATATCCACTCCTACCCTAAAATGCATGTAGTCACCGCCCCCTATTCACACATATTAGCAATCTACATGTAAGTTTCTTCAGCTCTGGGTTCTGATGCATGAAAAAAGATCCTGATTTTTTTTTTTTTTTCATGAAAGGCAGAAGAACAGGCAACACACAGCATACTCTCTTTTCTAAGAGTCATCTAAGACACTCACCCCCATTATAAATGATGCAGTTGTGCAAAATCCATTTTGCATCAGCCAAGAAAGCTTCTGTGCAGCCATACATTTTCTTTTTAGCATTCTGGGGAGAAAAGCCACAGAAAATAATCACCAGTGAGTCTCTATAAGCCACAGCCCGTAACACCTGCGTCCCCACATAATTTTCCTAGCAGTCATTTGCCAAATTAATTAATGCTTTTACTCATTTCCCAAGATGCTATTACAGTTGAGATCTATAACTCTATAAAAATGCATTCAATGAATTAATCACACTAACCTGAATTTTCTCATCTTATAGCACTGTCGTTTATCAGGCAGCTTCCTCCAATAAACCAGAGTATTTTATCTATTTACACATTTATTATTAATTGTACAGTCTCCCATAAGCCTCATAGTTGAAAACTCTATGAAGCCATTTTTACCCCCATTTTACAGACAGGGAAACTGAGATATAGTAATGTTAAAGAACTAATCCAAAGTTCCAAAGCTATTAATTTATGAAATTAGGATTCCAACCTCGTCTTTTTGCAATGTCTTTTTTTTTTTTTTTTTTAACACCATAAGGGTGTGAGAGTTTTCCAAAGCAGGCTGAATTTACTGTTTGGAGGTTGGGAGAGAGGGTCCATCAATACACACAATATAATGTTTTCTCCTCATTCATGCTTTTCTTTTAAGAATATTTTGGTGCCAAAAATTTGAAAATCAGCACCAAGATGACAGACATCTTAGATGTAGTCTAAATGTGTAATTTACACTGTAATTTCTACCAGTGTAATTTTCAGCATGGAATTTCAGTTTGAACCTTTGAAAACTAGGGTTAGGCACTACAGAAATACCCTTCTCGTGAAATAAGTCAAGCTCTAAGAAGCCACGTGTTTACTGCTAACATGAAGATTTCCCAGATACTTAATTTTCTCTACTTCCTTCCTGCTGCTCTCATTAAACACCTCCAAAAGAAAGAGAAGAGTAAACCCCAAATCAATCAAATCACTAATGCTTAGAAGCTGTAACTTTCTCGGATAAAAGGCTAGAATCACCAGCAGAAATAATATTTGGCGCTAAGCAGCGGGTTTCAACACCCACTGTAATCCCTGGGAAAATGTTACGAAGAAGTTAGGGGAAAGAGCGTTCTTCCATCCAAATAAAAGTGGCAGAGGGGAGACACAGGGGCCATTTAACTTGAGACAGGGCGTGGGAAGTGAGGGAACTCTTGAGTCATCTCGACAGCTGTGGGCTCTTTGATGGAAGCCCACCTTTTCCAACGTACAAAGGTCCATGGGGTGGAAGATGTATTCTGCATAGTCAGGATGTTGCTCCAACGGGACAGGCTTCTGAAATGCATCTGTCTGTAAAAGAAAGGATGCATACACAAAAACACAAACCCAAAAAAAAAAAACAAAACACAAACCCGTCACTGCTACGGAAGACCGCAAACATTAACACCTACAAACTACTTCAACAATGGAGACATCTTTCCAGAAAATACAGTTCTAAAACTTTCTACAAAACAGACCCTTGAAAAGCTCCAAAGTGGTTTACCCTCTAATTCTGCCTGCTTATCAATAATCATGGACCCAGCTGTGTTTCAGTTTTGTCATCTGTTCAGTTTTCAGTGTATACTCAAATAACAGGTCCAGGCCTCTTCAATTAAGATTGACAAGAACAATGGGCTATCAGTTACTTTAGACCTCAACTCTGAAGGAGGCTTGTCTGTAGTACACTGCAAATGCCCATAATTAAAACTGACTGGGGGTGAAATTTGGCTACAACTAGAGATGACATGCCAAATAAAGTTCCCTAAGTGCCAACAAGTTCCAAGCACTTACTCCTTGGAAGCAAAGTTATGACTAACCTAGACAGCATATTAAAAAGCAGAGATATTACTTTGTCCACAAAGGTCTGTCTAGTCAAGGCTATCGTTTTTCCAGTGGTCGTGTATGGATGTGAGAGTTGGACTATCAAGAAAGCTGAGCACCGAAAAATTGAAGCTTTTGAACTGTGGTGTTGGAGAAGACTCTTGAGAGTCCCTTGGACTGCAAGGAGATCCAACCAGTCCATCCTAAAGGAGATCGATCCTGGGTATTCATTGGAAGGACTGATGTTGAAGCTGAAACTCCAATACTTTGGCCACCTGATGCAAAGAGCTGACTCATTGGAAAAGACCCTGATGCTGGGAAAGATTGAAGACAGGAGAAGGGGACGACAGAGGATTAGATGGTTGGATGGCATCACCAACACAATGGACATGGGTTTGGGGGGGACTCTGGGAGTTGGTGATGGACAGGGAGGCCTGGTGTGCTGCGGTTCATGGGGTCGCAAAGAGTCGGACACAAATGAGTGACTGAACTGAAGTGCCAACAGATGTTTTACACATGGGTAGAAATCTTAGTGAGATTTTGCTCCTCCTCTAAGGAGCCAAATTACTTTCAACACAGGGACTATGTAAAGCAGTGGTCCCCAACCTTTTCGGCACCAGGGACCAGTTTTGTAGAAGGCCATTTTTCCATGAACTGGGGTGAGGTAATGGTTTTGAGATGATTCAAGCCTATTAAATTTTGCACACTTTATTTCCAACCTAATGCCGCTGCTGATCTGACAGGTGTACCAGTCCGTGGCCTGGAGGTTGGGGCCCCTGGTGTAAAGGTTTTGTATCTTAGTCCACTTTTTTAAGCCCTATTTGAATCAGTTCAAAACGCTAGGCCGGGTTTGTCACTGGGTACTATTTATTTATCGATAAAAGAAATACATAGGGAATTCCCAGTGGTTAGGACTCAGTGCTCTCACTGCTTTCCCTTGTCAAGGAACTATGACCAGGAACACACATATACAGTTTATACAGACACACACACATATAGATAAGATTTAATTAATGACCAAATTGTGCTCAAGCAAGGCATGTGAATGGATTACCATTTGCAGTTATCCAAGCTCTTTCTCATCCAGAATAAGTTTGGCTTTGTCAGTTTAAAAGATGCTTCCATAAAATCAGCAACTTTCTGCCCTGATTTTGTAACAAACAATTTAGGTAAGAAATTAACACCTTCTTTGATTTTTCTTTTTGGTTTATAATTCTACAGTGTTGAAAAATCTAAATAAATCAATTCTTCTTGTCAAAGTTTGGTGTTTTATTTTTAATGAGACTATATACTTTTGCTTCCGTTGATGGAGTTTTTGTGCAAGAGACAGGTTCTCAATTTAGCAACACCCATTGGGCATGCTCTGAACTTTTTCCGTCATGATATCAAATTTCAGAATACAATCTCAAAACTAAAGTTTCTACATTTTTAAAGAAATTAAACCACACTGGCTACTAAAAGCATTCAGATTTTGTATTTCCATATATTCCTTTGACTTAGAAAGCAAAGTCTGAAGAGTTTCATAAAGGGTCACCACTAGCCCATCTGGTGCCTTTGTGTAAATCTACTAAGGAACTCTACCAAAGAACCCAACTTTCTGTAGGAAAAATGTCCTAACGTTGATAAACTTGTCATAAAGTATTATTTTTTAAAAACAAGGTATGTTACTGCCATCTTTCTGACAACTGTTGCAAAAAACTACAAAATGACAGCTATGATGTAACTGGGACTCTTTGAGAGAAACCACTTTAAAGTTCACAGCTTGCCAGCTGAACACGGCAGGCCTGCTTTCACACAGATTTTCCTAAGGACAAAGGCTGCACATCAAATCCCAATTCAAACTTAGAGAAACGAAGCAAATCCTCACCCTTTACAGGAATCTCACCGGTTGAGTTTTACTTGACGGCTCCCTCATTAGACCCTGATTACAAATAAACTGGGTTGCACTCAGCTCTCTCACTGAAATGGAATTTTTACAACTCCCCCATATCAAGTGTGGTCTGAGGTTTCATTTCGCGACCACTAAGAATTTTAAATCCCCACCAGCTTCCTAATATATGTCATTTCCTGATTAAACTCCTAGGGGACACAAAGTGCTCACTTTTGAGAATTCACTGAATGCCTCTGTCCAATTTAATTTACAGGGATTCGCATCTGGGCACACAAGACCCAAAGAGTAAAAAGCACAGGTGTCTGAAAAGCCAAGGTAACTACAAGGAACAAAAATGTTAACAGAACAAAAATCACCATTCTCATTAACACATGTAATAAGAGGAAGTGTCTTCTTACCCCTGGCTGTTTCATTTTCTGAATGGCGAACTTGAGCAGGTATGATAATTGTTCGATGGTGAGCATCGTCATGGCTTTACTCTGAGTCTCGATGCATTCTGCTACTGTGATCTTCTGCAAGTCAAAATCACACAAACACTCAGTTAGGAAAGACTATTACGATCTCATGTATTCATTTCCCTTTCCTCCTAATTTTCTAGTAAGTTCACACGTAAAAAATGATCCCCATCTAAATGAGACCAGTTGTTTCACTTGATGAGGACGCCAGTCTACTTGACCTGGGTGCTGGATCAGTGGATAAAAATGAAGAAGTGTTGTTAGCTCATAGAGGCGATATAATCTGAGAAGAGGGGAGGTGGGCATGGACCTGAAAAATCATCATTCTTATAACCTTGGGTTTCAAAAACAGGACATGAAAGGCCACTGGTCGTTTCAGAGTACTCTCTTCACACAATGAACGAACCACTTTCCTTGAGCCTCTAAAGGTTCTGGGCTATCTTTCAGGAAACTGACAAGGCATTAATTCAATGACATCATGGATGGAGAGGGACAGTCTTCCCTACAAAAAAAGTCTAATGCGTGGAAGTGAACTAATAATAAGTATGACTTCATTCTCCATCACCACTGACGTGAACCCACTCAGGACACTCCAGCAAACTACCCAAGGAGCAGTCTTACATGTCTACTTCCAGGAAGGAGAAAAGAGAAATTCCTATCAAAGACATGTCTGAAACCAGATTCTGCTTTATAAACTGGTACCAGATCTCAGAGGTGTGGAATCCTTAGGTAGCAGCAGAAACAAAAATAGCCAACTCGCATGATGTCACTCTTGAATCATCTGTGTAGGGAGAGCAAAGCAAGGTTTCTCCAACTAATCTGGATTTTGTTTCCATTCTTCAGATCTCCGGATCCTCCAAAAGGAACTTTCATGGTTGGTTGTCAAGAAAAAAGGGCAACACAGGAGGTGCTCGGAAGAGGAAATGATGCATGGATCTAACTGTTTGGCTACCAGAGCTGGAAACAGCTAGTCTTCTCAGCTGACGGCCTCACCCATTCACTCCTGGAAGAAATCTGGGACTCAAAGTCTTAGACACAGATCACTCGTCTGTTTGAACTCCAGTTCGTTTCCAGGTAACTATCCATGGTGAACACCTGAGTTGCTCACTCAACTGTTGACCTCTTCTCCCCCAGCCCCAGCCCTGTCCTCCTGGCTGGCAATAGCCGGGGCCTACAACAGAGACAGAAAAAGGGCCAGACAGACATTTTCAAGCCTTTCCTGCCTGGGGATTGGTGAGCCAATCCTGACCAAGGAGCCCAAGGGCATGTCTTTTGCTTGATAAAAAGGGATATAATCCCAGGAGGACTACTGTCTAGCCACACATGATAAAACCTCCAGCCACATCTTATGGCCAGGGACACGTCACCTCAACAACAAAATGTGAAGTCTGGCTCTGAACAAACACAGTCCTTGCCCTGCCTCTGGCTTCTTTCTACACATGATAATAAATCCCTGTGGTTTCAGATACCTTTCATCAAGCTCCATTCTCTACAGAAAAAGTATCCTATCTGAGCCACTACCTTCACTGAGAAATTATTAAACAATTGGGAAGGAATGGTCAAGACAAAGGAAACAGATGAAGGTTCCAGTTTCCACAATTAAATGCAGGAGAATGAGGTTGGACTCTGAACAGGAGGCCACTGGTGAACAATGTCTCTGTCTAATGTAACCCAGAGAGAATCAGGGATCATCTTTTGCAATTCTAGGGGCATAACACCATTAAAAAGTCATCATCATATTGCTTGGACATCTAATTTCTTCCCATAGATTTTCCCTTTACTGTACACAAAAGCAGTATTACAGACACCGTCCTAAAGCTTGCCTTTTTTCCCCCATGATCAACATCTGGGAGAACTTTCTATTTCCTACCTAGAAAGCATTCTCATTTGAGATCTAATACCAATGTACTTTTGAATTCAGGTGACATTCCATATTAAATAACTTTGTAGATGACATTTCTTTTTTGTTTGCTGCTGTTGTTGTTTCACTTCACTTTTGTTTTCTAGATAACATTCTTAATTTCAGCATTTGGAAAAAGCATCATAGATGGATGTTCCCAAGACTAGAAGACACTTCAGAAGAGTGGAAATCATAATTGTTTTCATGAAGAGTGTTCAGGCTTTGCTATAAGTGAAATATACACGTTCCCTTCACTGTGTCAGCATGCTTCTGCCTCGGGTTCCGTACCCACTGCCTCTTCCCATGGCTCCATGGCTCCTTCCCCTTCTTTAAGTCTTTCCCAAATCGTAAGAGGATTTCCTGGACCTCTGCATTTAAGAGGTTTGAATAAGAGCATCAGATGGCCACCACGTGGGACATACAACTAACACTGGGCTTCCAGCTTGGCTACTGCCGAGGATTCAATGATGCAGCAGGAAACAACATCCAAGAAGGAAGAAAAGAGCTTGGGGTCTTTTCAAAACATATGAACTGGGAGAAGTCTGTAACTTCTAGAATGCTCATTACAGAAGAATCAGAGAAGTTGAAGATCTCAGAGCGATCCAATAACCCACGAGGAATCAAAATCAATGTTCAGTGAGATTGTCTTTCCAAGAGCTGGAGTGCTAAGGCCACTGCCAGTGTTGGTCCCCAAAAAAGGGGATGATCAGGACCAAGCAGAGGGAAGGCAAAAAACTTCTCTTTTCCTTGTGTTTGGATTATTTGAAAAATTCGATATCAAAGGAAGAAACACAAAGGAGAGTGAACGAGGCAGACAATGCATTCATTCATCAGGAACTAACCTCACATTCAGGACAAAACCAGTCCCCCTCTGGTTCCGATGTCAGTCTCAGACACTTAGCGTGATAAACCCGGGGACAGAGCTCACAGCAAAGGACTTGGCCTTCCCGGTGACAAACCCAGCAGTAGAAATCATTTCGTCCGTCCTGCGGTACAACATCAACAGGGTCTGTGGTGAGTGGCTGCTTCATATAGTAAAACGGACCATGTCTTAGTTCTGACTGAAATGTAGGCAAGAAAGACAGGTTTGGTTTCAAAACAAATGTGCATTCTCAAAAGGAATTTGAACAAATACAACAATAACAACAAAAGAAAATCAGAGCATTGCACGCATTCATTAAAAAGCTATCTGGGGTTACTCTACTTTACATTAATATAGAATTTGCAAGTCATTAGACATTAAGATTTAGGTTTTCAATCTTGTATTTAAAGAGGCCATGACTTGAAAAGCTGGTGTCTGGGAGTTAACAGGCAGCCTAGCAGGAGAGCACAATGGCTAAAACCAAGGCATGCCTGAGTTCAAATTTAGCTCAATCAGCTGCAGGACCCAGGGAAAGTCTTTTAACCCCCCCAGCTTCAATTTTCTCATCTGTAAAGTGGGGTTGATAACATCTAACTCCATGGGATTGTGGTTGGGATTAAAAGGAATCATACAACATAGGCAATTAACACAGCGCCACCATGACAAATACTGCTAATACACTTAAAAGTCCAACATATGGAAACCTAAATGTAAAAAGCCAAGCAAATATGGCAATTTGCCCTGGGAGTCTTTCAGCAATGGGCCATGGGAGAATGGATCCGTTTGGAAATGAGTCACCAAAAATGATCATTCACTTTTTTGAAGGCTACCCCCAATGCACAAAGAATTATAGCCAACAAGAGGCTTTCCTAAAACCATGCTTCTTAAACACAGGAGGCCCTGGTATTTGCAGAGAAGCCACATTACTTACTGAAGACAAACAAGGGCAGAAAGATAAGAGCGGGGAGTGCCAATTCACAGGAGCCAGACCCCTCCCTACGCTAAAATAGCAAGAGAAATACTTCCCTAATGATGCATTGGAAAAGACCCTGATGCTGGGAGAGATCGAGGGCAAGAGAATGGGATGACAGAGGACGAGATGGTTGGATGGCATCACCAACTCAATGGATACGAGTCTGAGCAAGCTGTGGGAGTTGGTGATGGACAGGGAAGCATAGAGTGCTACAGTCCACGGGGTCAAAAAGAGTCAGACACGACTGAGCGACTGAACTGAACAGAATGATACATTACAGAATCCAGCAAAGCCACTCTCTGAAAACAATCCCTCAGAAGAAACTCCTTCAGAAAATGCCTTTTGGAGACTAGTCTGAAATCTTGTTTAGGAAGTATGAGAAAGTCTAGGGGTAAGTGTTCAAAAAGACCTGGTAACTTCCCATGTGACCTTGGGAAAGCTACTCAACCCACTTTAGCCTTGATTCTACGGACAACAGGGCAGCCACAACCACAGTGCCTCCCTCTAAAAAAACCTCCTTGTTAACAAGCTTATCCCTGTCCTTCAGTAAAACTTTACAGGTTTCCCCATAAAGATCTCATATATTGATTAGGGACTGCATGATTTTTGTTGCTGCTGTGAATGGATCATTTTACCATTACAGTTTCTAAATAGTTATTGTTGGTACATAGACGTGCTATTAGATTTTTGATACTACTTATATATGCACAGTTCTAATAATTTACTGATTAAAAACTTCTATCATCTCTAAGTAACAGTAGTTTTGTCTGCCCATGTCTAATATTCTTGTATCGCTTTAGTTTTCTCCTTATTTTACCAGCTAGGACCCCCAGGATAACGGGAGAGAGTGACCACAATTGCAGGCATCCCTCTTGCTCCTGGTTTTTATTATGAGGTTTTAATGTCTCCCAAATGCCTGGTACTTCCATCTTCCTTGATAAAGAGTCTCAGAGATGCCTGCTTAGCAGATCTTCATGAATCAATCCTTCTAAGCCTCCCAACTCACGTCTACTAAGAAAAGAGCTAAGACTAATAAGGGCAGTGGTGTAATGTTTGAGTCCTCTTTGAGGTCAACGTTTAAACAGAGTACCCCTACTCGGTTTCCAGAGAATAATATCATCGTCATGCCATTCTTTCCGTGTTACGTTTCTCAGCGCACTGTCACACACACCATCGTCCTTCTGTCCTCACCATCACCCAGAGAGGCACTCAGGGGAGACACCGCTAGTCCCAACAGACAGAGGAGAAAACTAAGTTTAAACGACTTATCTAACCCCTAAGTCCAGAAGCAAGGACCCCCACCTGGGTCTCCTAGCACTTTTTCTCATCCCTATGCCCCACAGAAGATGAAGCTGGATGCAAAGGAGATTCTGATGATTCAGTGACCCGCTCAGAGAACATTCTCTGTAATTCAAAATAACTTCTGCCACACAAACTTATGATTACCAGGGGGTAAAGGGGGCGGGGGATGAACTGGAAGATCAGGATTGACATATACACATTACTATGTATAAAACAGATGAGCTTCCCCAGAGGCTCAGCGATAAAGAATCCGCCTTCAACGCAGGAGACTCAGGTTTGGATCTTCTTGGTTCAGGAAGATCCCATGGAGAAGGAAACGGCAACCCACTCCAGTATTCTTGCCTAGGAAATCCATGGACAGAGGAGCCTGGTGGGCTACAGTAAACGGGGTCACAAAAGGGTTGGATGTGACTGAGTGACTAAACAACAATATATAAAATATACTACTAATAAGGACCTGCTGTATAGCGTAGGGAACTCCACTTAATACTCTGTAATGAACTATATGGGAAAAGAATCTTTAAGACTGGATATACGTTACATGCATAACTGTTTCTCTTTGCTGTATGCCTGAAACTAACACATTATAAATCAACAATACACCGGTAAAAATTAAAAAAAAACTGCTAATGCAAAAAAGTAGAGTGGAAAAAAAAATCTGAAATTTAGGAAGACAACTAGAAACATAATAGAGGGGGCATGAAAAGATAACGGCATCTAGAGTAAAGGGTTCTCAACTCAGACGACATCTTGGGCTAGACAATCTTGGTTCTGGGGATCTGATCCTGTGCACTGGAGGATTTGTGGCATCATTCAGAGGCACCCCTACCCCACACGCACCAAACTGGGACAACCAAAAATGTCTCCAAACACTGCCCAAGGTCCCGGGTGGGGCGCAAAACTGCCCTCAGTTGAGAGTCACTCAGGCAGAGGCCTGCTCTCTGCCTAGGAAAATGGTTGCTTGAATTTCTACGGGGGAGGGTGTGAAAGTGGAGGGGCTGGGGGAGGGGAAGACAGAGGAACCACCAGAGAGATAAACTGAAGCTATCAAGCAAGCAGAACTATTTCTAACCTGAGTGGGGTCCTCCAGGATGCACTGCGGCTTTCTGCAAGATAGCAGGAAGGCGTATTTGAGGGCCCAACTTCCTTTCAGTAAGTTAATAATAGAACAGGAAGAGGCATGAAGACCTCAATGAAACCAGAAGAATCAGAATGTGACAGCTCATCATCTCTTGAGCAGGCAACCCAAGTCCTTTCCACCTAACAGAAGCCAGGGTACTGCCCCTTGAGAAGTTAAGTTCCCCTCCTCCATGTCCCTGCCCCTACCCCCACCTGGCCAGGGGTGGGCATTCCCGGGAGGACCGACCAAGAGGAGGGCAGACCAGGCTGCCCTTTTTTTAGGAGGGTTCATCCTTGATGAGAACCAGCTGGCTGGGAAACACCTTGTCAATCAGATGCTGGCTTAATCTGCTGCTTGTAAGTGTTTTCTGCTCCATAAAAATAATCTGATAAATATGCAAGATTTTAAAAAAGGAAAGGTAAATCATTTCAGGTAGAATGAGTTATGATTTTTTTTTTCTCCCCCAGTGCACAAGGTGTGTTCTCAGAGTCAGGCAAGCAGGTTGCAACACGCGTTGCTGTGGCGCTCACTGCAGGCTCCGCACACATGTTCTTACGTCCCTGCTCCTTCCCCAGGTCAGCTTAACGAGAAATAGACAGGCTTGTTCATTGGCTTCCGGAACACCCCACGGAACGCCCCAGCCTCTACCAGGAGCCAGCAAACCTTCTCTACAAAACGGTGCTATGACGATCGGAGGTGAACAGCTGAGGCTTTGCGGGTCGTGATCGGAGGTGAACAGCTGAGGCTTTGCGGGTCGTGTGGTCTCTACTGCGGCACTCCTGTCACAGGAGGGCAGACGTGACTACAAACAAGGTGTCACTAAGTGGACACGGCTTGTGCCTGTAAACTTCATTTACAGAGACAGGCGCTGGACCACACCTGGCCTGCAAAAAACCAGAGAACATGTCTGGGGAGCCAGGGGGAGGACCACAGACTCAAATTCCTTCTGGGGCCACACAGGAAACAGAGAGGAAGGAAAACTGTCCTCATTCCAGCCCGTGTTTTCCTGTATTTGATAAAAATACACAAGGGCTGTAAAATAAAGAAAAACTGCTCAGCCCTGGAGTTTGAGGATAGCGTTGGAGGGCAGAGCATCTTCAAGGCCCTCGGGCTCCAGTGATCAGCAGTCCTACTGACTGTCCCTTGATCTATCTTGGCTGTTAATATACTGCTCCCGCCGAACAATGAACTTCTGTTTTTAAGACAATGCACATGCTGTGTGCTGTGCTTAGTCGTGTCCTACTCTTTGCGACCCCGTGGACCGCAGGCCCCTCTGTCCACAGGGATTCTCCAGGCAAGAAGACTGGAGTGAGTTGCTATGCCCTCTTCCAGAGCATGTTCCCAACCCAGGGATCAAACCCAGGTCTCCCACATCACAAGCGAATTCTTTACACCAGGAAAGCCCAAGACAACGCATGGGCCCAACAAAATAAGTCCCAGCTCCCCTCCTTATGAGTATGTATAGCCCCCTACTCAGAGGAGGCAACAGGGGCCCTGTCATTTCTCTGCCATATCTCATCAAAGGCACACCTAAGGTCATTATGCACAAATCTCTTAGCAGATTATTGCTCAATACTTGAATAAGAAAGAAAAGAAGTAAAGAAAGGAGGAAGGGAGAGAGAACCTCCCCAAAGGATTCAAACTCAAAAATGTCCCAAGAACTACAGATAGACGGGTATTTCTCAATAAAGGTCCAGTGTCACTTGAGAAAAGGTCTTTCTCGCCCCATCTACCGGAGGTCATCCAGCAAACTGACCCTCCTCCACACAACACCAGAAGCATCCTTCCAGGCTCTGGGATGTCCCCCACCCCCGGTTCCAAGAAAAAAGCACCTACATACTTTCTAACCTTTGTTAAGAGGTGAAACAAGACGGTGGTGGTCCATTTCAGGTGGTGAAATCCTGGCGGTCCAGTGGTTAAGAATCCCCACCTCTCAATGCAGGGTACACTCATCTGATCCCTGGTCCTGGAAGATCCCACATGCCCCGGAGCAGCTAAGCCCGCAGGCCAAAACTACCGAGGCCCTCAAGACGAGAGCCGTGCCCCGCAACAAGAGAGGCCACCGCAATGAGAAGCACTCGCACCACAACAAAGAGAAGCCCGCAGAATGAAGGCTCACCACCGCCAAAAAATAACATCAGTAAGTCTTTTTTTTAGAAAGGTATTAAAAAAAAAAAAAAGAAGTCAAATCAGCGGACAGAAAGGTTGAAAAAAATTAAATACAAACCTCAGAACACATTCCCTAAAAGTAAAGTGTGTTCTAAAGTTCTTCTTAAAACTCTTAGAACTCCCCTAAAAGTAATGAGTCCCCAATACATGAAAAATGGGTGGAAACGTAAAACCCATAATTCTACTTCATAATAAACCATCTCTACCAAAAACAGGAAAATATGGGGGGGGGGGTGGTTATTATGGTAGAACAGTTTTCTTTCTTGAACACTGGAACACAGAAATTTCAGAGCGAAGAAAAACAAGAAAGGGGTGAAGAATTTTGATATATACCGAAAATCAAAAGGGTATGAATGCCTAGAGAGAGCCAAAGGAGAGGAATGAGCAAAGCTGGCAGGGGACGTCACTATAGGGAGGGGTGGGGAGGGCAGAAAGGTAGCGCACACAGATCCAGTGTCCAGCTGTTGCTGGATTTTTCTGAGTTCTTATAGGAACTATAAAATATAAGTTGATATTTGACATCTCATGACCATCAAATATTGATAACTAACAGAAATTACATTGATAAAACCTAGAAGATGGAGACATACATTTTGCATTTAATTCCATAACTTTTTTTCAATTTTGTAATCTAAAAGAAGAAAGAAAAGGGAAAGAGAAGGGGGAAAAAAAAAGAGTCCAGAAGAAATTTTTTTTAAGGATTTAAGTTACCCTTAGGAAAACAGACTGTGCTCAAGGGAAGCTGCCTCGAGGGAAGGTTTGCATAGTTTATGCAAACACTATAAACTAGAATGAATTATGGGGTCAAGGGTCAGGAATTTCTTTTCTTTACAGTTGAAGCTATTCCTCCTTGCCAACTCCTGGCCATTCAGCCCCAGGGAGTTTTAGATGTGAAAAACAAAAACCCACCATCAACCTTAAAATGCTCCTTCCCAGTTCAAACTCCAGTTTTACAAGGATGGGAAAGCAGCTGACAAGGTCACCCAGTGGGTTTCCCAGACGCAGTGGGGCAGGAAGGAGTCTGGACTACAGGTCTGGACGCCTTCTCCAGAGACACGGTTCTGCAAACTTCTCTCATCACTGTGGAAGATGACCGGTTCTGCAGATGCACAGACACGCCCTGTGTGTCCAGTCACCCCTGCTGCTCCGCCCCCCAAGCACAGTGCATTCTGTGTTCACGAGCTCCCCCTGCGTCCAACTCTGGGGTGACAGCAGCCACTGGCCACTTTCTGGCCACAGATTTACAAATACACCATTGTGGTCATGAGGTTTAAGTGTTAAGAGGACCTGTGGATGAGGAAGAGGGAGAAGAAAATCTGTGAATTGCCTAAATTGGTCAGATTCTAGGAAGAGAGATGTGAGCCAATTTTTTTGTTTTGTTTTAATGTTTTTTTGTGTGTTTTTTTTTCTTGTTTAATGTGAGCCAATTCTTCCAGGACAGGAGGAAGTCACTGAGCACATACACAGGAGACCACCTCTCCCCAGAGAGCACAGTATCTGCTTCACGACTTTACTCATAACTGGTAAAAGAGGGCTTGCCTTAAATTAAGATTTGAGGATTATTTATAGCCTTTGTGTTTCTTAGTCTTCAAGCCCAATAGCTATGGGATAGCTAATGGTGGTGGGGGTCCGGGGGGGGGGGGGGGGGGGCAGCAGCTTCAAGACAGGTAGACCTAAGCTTCTTACTTGCTCTAAGGCCTTGGGGAAGTGACTTAACCTCTCTGCCAGTGAGACAGAGATGACTATACCCTTCCTCACAGCATCAAAAGGCTTATGAAAGGACAGGCACACGGTAAATTCTGCTTTTAGTATTAGTCTCACCAACACTATTACTGAGCCATCATAGCTCAGTTGGTAAAGAATCTGTCTGCAATGCAGGAGACCCCGGTTCGATTCCTGGCTTGGGAAGATCCCCTGGAGAAGGAACAAGCTACCCACTCCAGTATTCCTGGGCTTCCCTGGTAGATCAGCTGGTAAAGAATCCACCCACAATGCAGAGGACCTGGGTTCGATCCCTGGGATGGGAAGATCCCCTGGAGAAGGGAAAGGCTATATCCACTCCAGTATTCTGGCCTGGAGAATCCCATGGACCTTGGGATTGCAGAGTCGGACGTGACTTTCACTTTCAGTCATTTTTCCAACACTGTTATTATAGGATCTTTCAAATTGCAATCTGAAATTATCTTTTCAATGATCATTTCAAATTGCAGAAATTTACTTACAAGCTATCAGTTTCTCCTCTAATGGGAGTTCCAACTCATTAAACCTGGGCTGACCAACATGGCAGCTATAAACCAGAGGTGGCCACGTAAATTTAAATTCAATTAAAAAATGTGGTTGCTCAGCACAGCTGCCACTTTTACAAGTGTTGTGGCCACACGTGGCTTGTGGCTCTCACACTGAACAGCACAGGCCTGGAACACTTCCAAAGCTATTTAATTATTTCACAGATAGTCTGTGCGATTATTTCACTTAGTGTAGACTCTCGCTTAACTTTTATTATTTATGTCATTTAGCTCAATTCCTCTTCGTAACAGCCCTGCGAGTTTGGTAGTAGTAAGATTATTATTCTCATTTCAGAAAATGAGAAAATGAAGCACAAAGAGGTTAACCTGCCCACAGCCACAGGGCAGCAGCAGCGCTGGCATTTCACTGTGTAATTTGGAGAGAGAAAATAGATTCGTGCACAGAAATGGCCCCCCTCTCAGAGTCCCGGGCGTTTAACCGTTGCTCAGTTTCTTCCCGTGAAAGCAACAATCTTATTTTATTCAACTTCAAATCCCCAGGGTCCACTTCCACATCCATAATCTGCACAAATGCATGAGTACATCCCAAGGAATCTCCTCTGAAACGGTATCAGGAAATGGTATCATCCTGCTTGCTCCATGCTAGGAGACTCAACCTCATGGACCACGAAAGCACCTCTCATCTTTTTAAGTCAGAAGAGTAGCAAGTTTGCAGCACAGAATTTTAGAGCTGGAAGGTCGCTGAGACAAGATATAAGATGGCGAATCGATGTTTGCATCGAGGTTGGGGCCTGCCAGGGGCTGGGCGCTCTGAGAAGAGATGGGGACGAATTACCCAAGTCGCGGAGGGCAGTGGGACGGGAGGGCGGCTGTCTCTCACCACAGCCCTAAACCCATTCTTTTACAGATGAGAAAATTGACACCAGAAAGGAACACAGGCCTCAGCCATACCACCCTCTCCGGGCAGAACTCCAAGCTGTCCTACCAGCCCAGCCTAGGAGGGCAACACCCTCAGGCCACGAGGGCAAACAGTGCCAGCATGTGAAAAAAAGAAATCCAAGGAAAATCCCCAAATCCTAGAGCACGGTATGTCTGTCTTATCTGGGTCACTGCCCTGACCCCACAAAGAGATCTGAAAAGCCACTGGGAATTTCTCCCCCGGCCCATTTTGAGCTCCCCTTTCTGTCCTATGCAAATGACAGCCAGAGCAAGGCAGCTTCCTAAATGCCAAGCACATGGGCAGTTGGAAAAACAACAGCCTTTGTCCGCACCCCCTCCCCACCCCGCCCACGAGTGTGGGCACCACTCCCGGTGGCCTCTTACCTGCTCCTTGTTGTTGTTGTTCAGTAAGCCGGGTTTCTTTTTCTTTTTAATGGGACTTGTGGATGTGTCCTGTGGCGAGTGGCCATTGGAGGAATGAGGAGGGCTGGGGAACTTTCTTTTCTGGGCTGTTCTCTCTGTGGAGCCAGGATCTGAAAGACACACACAGGATCACATATTTTAGCGCAGTCAGGACTAGGCCCCGCGGGAAGCGGGGTGTGGAGGACACATTCATTTTGCCCCCAGACGTAGTGCCATCTTGTTGATCCTCCTAGAATATACTTACCCCACTGTCTTCCTTGCATTCTCAAAGAGGTAAGATGGTCTTTCTTTTGCATACATAACATTTCTGTGAAATTTGTAATTTATGGCCAAAATACAAAAATTGGGAAACTTCACATAATAGATTTGGGGCTTCTATTTTTAAAAAAAAATCAGAGCCTGCAGGGCCTTATACAACCAGACCAGCCACTTTTTAGACAGGCATATGCCCTCTATTTTACCAAAATCCCCACCCTTCCCTTTGTTGATAAAGGTCCGTCTAGTCAAACATGGTTTTCCAGTAGTCATGTACGGCTGTGAGAGTTTGACCATAAAGAAGGCTAAACGCCAAACAACTGACACTTTCGAACTGTGGTGTTGGAGAAGACTCTTGAGAGTCTCTCTTGGACTGCAAGGAGATCACACCAGTCAATCCTAAAAGAAATCAACCGTGAATATCCATTGGAAGGACTGATGCTGAAGCTCCAATACTTTGGCCACCTGATGCAAAGAGCCAACTCACTGGAAAAGACCCTGATGCTGGGAAGGATTGAAGGCGAAAGGAGAAAGGGGCGGCAGAGGATGAGATGGTAGGATAGCACCACTGACTCAATGGACATGAATTTGGGAGACAGTGAAGGACAGGGAAGCCGGATGTGCTGTAGTCCATGGGGTCGCAAACAGTCAGACAGGACTTAGCAACTGAACAACCACCACCACCAGCCGTCCCTACTGTGTCCCTGCTGACCAGGTCACGAACCAACAGCCATGAACTGTCACTCACCCAAAGTGAAAGTGAAGTCGCTCAGTCGTGTCCAGCTCTTTGTGACCCTGGGAGGCTACAGTCCATGGAATTTTCCAGGCAAGACTACTGGAGTGGGTTGCCATTTCCTTCTCCAGGGGATCTTCCCAACCCAGGGTTTGAACCCGGGTCTCCCACAGTGCAGGCAGACGCTTTCCCGTCTAGGCCACCAGGGAAGCCACCATTCACACACCCAAGGCTGATGGCAAAAGCAGGAAACCGAAGAGACAGACCAAGAAAAGAAGGCCGCATGCTTTTATGAAAATGAAGGCAAACATAACTCGTGGTAGAAGACATTTATTCATGTTTATCAGGTTAACAAAGTATAACTATGTAAAGAAAATATACCCCACCCACCAGAGTTCCCATGACCCAATCACCAGTAGACAATGTGTTTGTGACTCTCCTCCAAAGAGAGATCAATAGAAAACGGCATTCTCACCCAAGGCTCATCTGAAAAATACCAACGCCACCCTCGCCGATCCGGTTCTGCTTTTATTCTCCCCGCACCTCATTTAAACACAGGCATTTACACAACATCCCATCTTCACCTGCAAAGATCTGAATCCGTTCCATGCCCGATGGTCTCCCGCTAGCTGACGGAGGCCATAAGGGAACGGCCTGGAGCCCCTGCTATGCTTGAGAATGAAAACTCCAGGGACCAGAAGAGCACAGGGCTGTGCCAAGAGCGCAGGTGGCAGAACGGGATACAGAGTTCAGAAAGATGACTATCTGCGAAGATGGCCCTATGACGTTCCCCAGCTTCAGGGTTAACTCTCGGGCAAGTCCCAGCATGCGGGCTCTGCTGTGTGTCGCCAGCCTGTGTCTGGGATGGTGGCCAGAGCTGCTGGGGCAGATCACCAGGGTCCAAGAGCCGGAGCACCCTCCAGCACGCTGCAGACAACGGACAACTTCTGCGAAATCCCATCCACACCAGGGGGTTCTCTCCACTCACCAGGCAGGCTGCAGGAAAATCCTGAACAAATGTTCCACGTGCTGCACTGAGACCAGCCCCGAGAGGAAATGAAACGCTAACCACACGCACCTTGAGGGAGAAGAGACCTCAGAGCCAAGGGTCCACCCCACGGACATCAGAACAGCGGCCTGGAGAGCCCAAAGGGATGGCTCAGAGGCACACACAGCTAGTTAGTGGGGGACTGCACTCAAAAGATGTAGCCAAGGATTGGCAAGTTTCCCCAGAGAGAACCTCCTCTCATTCCCACAGGGATCCTCACCCCACGTCACCATCACACGTGAATATGTGCACATTCTCCATAGGGTCTTTGACCTAACAATCTCCTCCTAGAGACAGTCTACAGGCCTGGTCACAGGCCAGCAAAGCACATGCAAGATGATTCAACTACAGCAGGTGGTGTTATAGCTAAGACTAGAAAGGACTTCCGTGTCCACAAACTGGGAGTTGGTCTGCTAACATGTAGTGGGACACAGCCATGAAGAACAAGGCACCCCGGGACAGACTGACGTATAATAATCTTCAAGCTTCTGGGTCAGGTTGAAGAGCATGAAAATACCAAAGACATTCTCCACAGAACTAAAAAAAATAATAATTTTTAAATTTGTATAGGAACGCAAAGACCCTGAATGGCCAAAACAATCTTGAGAAAAAAGAACGGAGCTGGAGGAATCACACTCTCTGACTTCAGACTATATTATTTAATACAAAGCTACACTCATCACAGCACTTCGGTACTGACATAAAAACAAGACACATAGATCAATGGAACAAAACAGAGAGCCCAGAAATAAACCCACACACTTATGGTCGATCTATGACAAAGGAGGCAAGAATATACAATGGAGAAAAGATAGTCTCTGCAATAAGCGGTACTGGGAAAACTGCATAGCTACATGTAGAAGAATAAAATTAGAACATCCTCTAACACCATATACAAAAAAGCAATACATGTCTAGCACCAATAATAGACCAAAAGACACAGCCCAAAAAAGATGGGTTGGTTTGGGTTAGCTTGGTTTTTTCCGGGGTTTTTTTTTTCCTCTGTTTTGTTTGGTTTGTTTCTTTTTGAAAAAGATGTTTTCATATATATTCATATTTACATAAGCCTAAAATACTCCTAGTTGAACACAAAAGTATAAGTTCTTAATAGGGACCGGCGGTCGCCTCAGGGGAGGAGAATCTGCAAGGAGTGGAAGAAGGACTTCTTTTCACTGTATATCCCACTGTACTTTACCATGTTCCTGAACTACTTTATCAAAATAAGGAAAAACAAAAAGGAAGTATTTAGAAGGTTCAGTGTCACATTTTAAAAAAAGCAGTAGGTGCAAACCAGAGCCAGTAATGAGCAAACAACAGACGCCTGACTCAGGATAAAAAATGTGCCCAGATGTACAGACTTACGGTTGATCCGTATGGGCCTACAGACACCAGGAAGGAGCTTGAAATTTGTCCTGTGTGAATCTAATGAATCCAAATAACTCCATTTATGTATCAGAGGACAAGTGTTTAACAAAATCATTTTGGGGGGCTCAAAGGAGATGTGTCCCAGAAGAAATGATACCCAGGCCAGGCAAAAATGAAAGCTATTGGGCCAAGGTTTTGATTCTGTATGTATAGTTTCATTAGTGTGCAAAGTTTGAAAGAGGAAAGCACATCAGCAAAGTCGGACCGGTGGAAAGCTAGGAAAATGTCTGGGGAAAAAAACAACCACTGACCCCTGAACAACAGAGGGGTTGGGCCTTCAACTACTACACAGTTGAAAATCCACATACTGCTATCTCTGCCTCAAAAACAAAGGAATTGATAAAGGACTCACCAAAAACCAGGAAGCTGAAGCAATCTGGATAGAATCAGGACTCAAGCCCTGGTTTTTTGTGATGCCACACACTGTGATCTGTAATCGAACACAAAATGTTCCCCGCACTTAAAAATTGGTAAAATTAAAATGCGTGCGTGCTCACTCAGTTGTGTCTGACTCTTTGTGACCCCCATGGACTGCAGCCTGCCAGGCTCCTCTGTCCATGGGATTTCCCAGGCAAGAAAATTGGAGTGGGTTGCCATTTCCTACTCCAGGGGATCTTCCTGACCCAGGAATTGAACCTGTGTCGCCTGCATTGCCAGGCTGATTCTTTATCATTGAGCTACCTGGGAAGCCCAAAATGAAGAGACAAGCATTCTATGTATTGAAAAAAAATCCACGTGTAAGTGGATCAGAGCAGATCCAACACGTGTTCTTCAAGAGTCAAGTTTAGCGTGTGGATGTTGCTCGATGGAGTACTAGTGGATTTTGGAAAGGATGGCCCCTCCTCATTGCAAGGACAACCCCAACCCCCTCACACCCGCTGCCATTGATGGTCCCAAACGCTTCCTGAAAAGCACCCCCACATACTTCCTGAACCCTCCCAGGAGTGGGACCAGCCTCCTGGAGCCCCTCAGAGCTGGAGTATGGGGAACAGTGGATGAAACCCACAGCCCAGCCCACACCTGGTCAACCTCTGGGGCCAGAAATGGCTCCAGCTCTTCCCTGGGCCTTCTAAATCATCTGCCTATGGCTGAGATCTCCTAGGATGATGGTTCCCCATCCAAGTGTTGCCCCCACACTAGCTCCAGCATCACCTATGAATTTGCCAGAAATGCATGTTCTCAGGCTCCATGTCAGATCTACAGAATCAGAAACTGGAGCAGGGCCCAGGGATCTGGAGTTTAAGCAGACTTCTGGAGGATTCAGGAGCATGCTAGTCTGAGATGCTCCCACATGTGTGTTTGGGAGACAGAGTCTGAGTTCTCCAGTCTCAGGAATCTCCTTTCCTTTCTCATCGCCTTCTAGAGGGTTAGTTTGGGACCCCAGGAAACAGAAGCCAAGAAGGAGGCAAAGAGAGAGAATGAAAAACAGCTAAGCAACTTTCCCTACTTCTCAGGGCCCCAGGGACACATCTGTAAAATGGGAGGAAAGGTAAGGAAGGGACCAAACCAGTTCTTCCCTGGAGTCCAAGAAAGTGCCTCAAGGCCCCATGAGCTGCCTGCCACAGTTCTGTACATGGATGCAATTTCCTGAGCAAGGGGGCCTGAGCCTACTTCACCTTTTTAAAGGTGAATCAATTCCAAAGATCAAA